CTCTCTCTCTCTCTCTCTCTCTCTCTCTCTCTCTCTCTCTCTCTCTCTCTCTCTCTCTCTCTCTCTCACACACACACACACACACACATAGTATACAACCACTTTGACAGCGGGATTGTTCATTTCTTAATACCATTTTCCCATCTTAGACCTAAACCCAAGAAAGAGGCCTCAGAGGACAGCTGTAAGATGGACATCAGTGACCCCACTGAAACCAAGCAGAGCTTAAAGTGTACAGACATAGGTGGTCAGCAGCAGGACATGGACAATGTTCTGCAGGCACAGGGGGGTGCCTCAGAGAGCACTGGGGCAACAGGTGGTACTGGTCAGCAACAGCAGGAAATGGACGTGGTTCAGGGAGGGGACACTGGGGGCGGAGGCCAACAAAGAAGATTTGTTTACAGGTAAGTCATATCTAAACTAAGGCCCTTAGAGTGTACATGGTGTGGTATACTTATATTTATCTGTATCACAACATTTTGCCTGGTCCTAACACCTAATTATGTCGGAGGCGGGGGGGGGGGATGCTCCTTTTCACAAGTTTGCTTCCATCTGTTTGGGCCAATCAAAGTGAATCCGACAGACATGGGGAAACTGCTGGTCTAGGCAGTGATGATGGCCTGAAGAGCCAGAGGACCAGCAAGATTTTTGATAATGCAGGTCCTATAGACTGGTAAGGTTTATGTGAAGATAAAGCAAATAAAAAGAAATTGCTTGTAAACATAGGCTAATGGAAATAAAATACTTAGTTTGGACAAGCATACAATTAGGAAGACCTGCTGATTTCTTGTAGTGCAGGTCCTCTGGACCATCAGTACCTAAAAAGTTTTTCCCATGTCTGAATCCTATTAACTGTCCTCTCTGTCGTCCATGCCTAACGCCTAGGCTCCATTTAAATGTCTCTCTTATAACCAGACTATCAAATCGCCAATCTCTCAAAAAATTTTGATACTTATTAGTACATTGCACAGTGTGAAAGAATGAGTTTTCCACAGGTATATCAATTCTTCTCCATATATTTCACCAGAAAGGCAAAGTGTTAGAACCTGTATCTTATATATTATGTATGAGACCAGTTGATCTCCAGAGTTAATCAGCTTATTGATTAATGAAAGGGCCCTTCCCATTGTGAATTAAAAAGCATATTACCAACTTCAGTTATACTTGTTTAACAGATTTTCTTTTACATAGGACTTGGTATTCTGGTGCACATTTTTGGTGACTTTTTGGTGAAGGAAACTTTTCTCTTGATGAGCTGTGTACTCTGTCACCAGATTAACACCATCCATTTTGTAAATAAATTTCTTCTACTCATACATGTGACCATATTCTTGATTTGTTCAGTTTCGAGTGAATTATTCCCTGGCAGTTGTATTTTTTTTTTTTTTTCATCTGTTAGCAGATGGTAAAGAAAGCGTATAACGTTTCATGTTTTTTATAAATTCATTTAAAGAGTGCTCATCATGGTACACAAATAATCGTCAATTTGACAGTAGAGCTAGAGTATTTTTATAGTTGTACACCACATTGTCACGGTTGATGCAGGGGCAACTAACACACTCATTCACATATGATTAGCATGTTATTTTATGAAACAGTTTAAGTACAAAATATTCACATTTTTTCAGTGTTTTTCACAGTTGGTTTATTAAGCACAATGTGATGCATTAAGTTTCAATTTTTTTTTTTATGTTAAGATTTGCCACCCTGAGCTTCAGAGATAACTTGACACTAACCTCTTCACTATAGCCTATCTTTATCGTGTCAAGTTACGTGTGAAGATAGGCTATAGTGAAGAGGTTAGTGTCTAGTTATCTCTGAAGCTCAGGGTGAGATTTGCTGCTCTGATTGTGTATCTAATACAAATCCCCCGCATTAGAAGATATGCAACGTATTTGACATGCTTGTAGTACTGTGTATATTGTTGTGGTTTATCTCTTATCTTTTTGGCAAAATCATATGCAAAAAATATCTAATTGTCACATCTGAACACTTAATATCGTGCATGATACTGCTCTTTTTGTGTAGAAAGGCATAATTTTTCTCTACATTTACAAAAAAGAATACTCAAAACTTATAATAATAATAATAATAATAATAATAATTATAATAACTTTTATTTTCATTAATGTTTTATCGGTCACATTCCAATATATTACAACATTTGGATTATTGCAATTTTTTCAGTGTACCTCCAACAATTTGTTTTGGTGCTGGTGCTGCTCGTGGCTTCAGTAGACATGGCTATCCAAACAAGGGCAAGAAGAAAAAATCCAAACAGAGGCACTGGCACCTGACACAACCAGAACATTTATCAACCACTGTAAAGATAGAGGACATTCAGATGAATGATTTGGAAAAAGCACTGGATGATAAAACATGATGAAAAGAATGATTTATCCATTCCCTATTGAACTGCTGTTGGTCAATATCCCCATTGTTTCAGTGCCTTGTTTTTTACGCTTAGCAGCAAAATGGATTTTTTTCTGGTGCTTTTCAGAAGTTGAGAACACTTAAATTCTTTATGTGCCAAGGAAAAGATTTTGAAATGATATTGCATTTTCTATTTGTAGAAGAAATGTATGTGTGTGATAAAGGCACTTTAATTATGCACAAAAAGCTTGAAGTCACAACTCTTAGTCATCTTTTGTAAGTCCTGTCCAAACCACGGTGATTCCCTTGATGACGTTCCAATTGCAAACTTTTCAGTGAGGATCTAATGACTCGCATATTTACAAATGAAAGCATTTCAGACTTCGTGTGACATACAATTTACTGATATAGCACGCAAAAATTCAATTTTAATGTGAATTCCCGTTTAAGTGAGTAGCATAAAGGAAGGAGTACAGTTGCAAAATAAAGCCTCTCCACACGTTTAAAATGTGAGTACTACTTGTGCGAGTGACCAATTAACTTACAGCTTTTTATTCAGTTATTTGTCCAGTCTGGCTATTTATCCTGTAACAGTCGTGCCTAGTGATTGTAAACCGAGTTTACGAAGGTTGTCAGACATCCAGGGGAGAGCAAATATATATACACTAAAGGTTTATCTGTTTCTCAACTTGCGTTATCTGTCAATAGTTAATTACTGTGGTAATATCATCGTTAAGGTGAATCTTCAGGTGAACCATATGTGACCAGCTTATATAATATTTCTAAATAATTATATATATATCATTATACACTATTAAACCGTAGTTCTCGTGAGGTTGACAACTACTTTCTACCAGAGGCTCACTGGCTGCTACAAAATCGAAAATTGAAGTCCCTCAAAAGTTTTGCAACTGCTGGAACAGCTAGAAGGGCCTCTGGTAAAGAGTATATCCCAACGGCGCAATGCCATAGTTGTCATCTTTTGACAGACGCAAGTCCAGAAAATTCCGGCGTGTGTGGCTGCAAACCAAGTTTAATAACCCACATATTCGCATATGAAATTTATGCTGCTGCTGCAGCTTCCGTCGTCCCAGGCCGCTCCGGAATTCCAGTAGTAGCCGCAGTCTTGGTTGCCACCGTCGTCTGGCTGGCCGTTGTCCCACGCTGTGTACGGTAGAGGGATGTTGCCCCAGCTCCTCATTACAAATGTGCCCTCGTTAGTCTCGTCGTTGGCGTCCACCCACCAATTTAACCCAGAGCGAGCTGGAAGGTGATTTGCAGAAAAACAGTATGTGTATTTTCGATAGATCTCTGTATTAAAGAAGATCGTGATTATCTTTGGACCGACTATTTATGTATTTGGACGTCTAATTTTTTTAATTGTGCTGGTAGATGCAATTCCAAAAGAAGAAGCGATTTAAACGGCGTTAAATGAGGCACAGTTTAAAAAAATGCAAAGAAACGAGGTGCTACGCGTACTTCAATTGTTGTCATTACTTTAAAAGTAATTTATTACGTAGCCCGATCTTCATCTGTATGAAAATATTACTTCACTATGTGGGCGCCTAAACCCTTATGCACATGCATTTACTGGTAGACACAAGTGTACACTGTTAAGTCAATGGGCAAACGCATACACTCTCACAACCATGTAGTGAGACCATGCAACGCAGGTTTTCGTCGGCAACGAGTTCAATATTTGTAACAGACTAGCCGGATCCAGGATTATTTGAAGGGGGGGGGGGGGAGGGGTCCGTGGATGCGAAGCCGATCCCCCCCGCCCCTTCCCCACCGAGGGGTTCGGGGCCGGCCGAAAGGCCCCGAAAATTTGTGGTATTTTAGAGGGCGAACAGTGCCATTTGATACGGCTTAGAACTATATGATCTAGCTAGTCAAAAGTCTAATTTCAAGAGCGGACCAGAAATCGAGGGGGGGTGTCAGGACCCCCCTGACACCCCCCCCCCNCTGTCATGCTGACATGCTGACCTGCTGACTAGTCCATTTAATGTACCGACATAAGCGATGTGAATGGTTACTGAACTGAACGTTTAAAAATAAAGCATGAGTAACATAAACTCTCCAATGTCTCAACGATTTCACATTTACTTAATTCTGTCTATAAAACATGACCAACATGAATTATCAAATATGGCAGTAGTGATTTTTATGATCTAATTTATCTGATATCAGATCTGCCATAAGAAGGAAAATTCATCTTCAATCTAACAAAAAAATTTGAAAGGATTCGAAAGGCCTACTAGAACAGAACACCAGCATTCACCTCCTAGTACATACATTTCCACAATAACATGTCTGAAATTATTTGTATTTATACATGTGCCATACTTACTGACTTCAAACTCAATATTTGGGTATAATTCAGACAGCAGCGCTATCACATGATGGGTCTGTATAAGGGCAAGCTGAAACAGTTCAAATATATAAAATCATATATCAAAAGAAATACAGAAAAGAGAATCAAGATTTAAGCTATATTCATCAGTGGCTGGCTCATATTCTCAATCTGTTATTAAGGAAATAACAGTCTACACAAATACTTTTTATTGTTTAAAAAAAGGGTGGTGCAACATAATAATCAAGAAAGGGCGCATCGACACTTTGAAACATCTGAGGTTTTTGTCAATAAACTGGACATCTTTGATTATGGACAGAGCTATATACTAGTACTGTGTAAGACGACACCAACCAGATAGCCTGGTACAGACTATACTAACTAAAATGAGGTGTCTTTTCTCGGTTCAGCAAACAGGGACTTAAATTGACCTGTTAGGCTATAGGACCAATACATTACTCTACACACCCCATATATATATGTGTGTGTGTGTGTGTGTGTGTGTGTGTGTGCGTGTGTGTGTGTGTTTAAGTTTTTTTTTCTTCTTTTTTTAAGAAATTATTTTACCACATTTGATGGTTTTATTTTATAAATAGAAAACCTCACATGAACTTTAATATAGTATAAAAACAGTCTTGTAAAATGGACACACCTTGAAAGGCTTACTAGTACAGAGCTGCTGAGATTGACCAGGGATAGAGAAGAATGAAGGCCATAATCGTCTATGTCAGTCAATGATCATCACATGATAATGCTAGGGATAATAAAACAGCAGAGCACCTGCTAGCTGTTGTATGTGGAGAATCTGAATGAGACATATAAAAACTGACATAATACTCGTACACCCGAGATCTGTGTAGTTCTCCGACAAACAGCCAGCGTTTATACATTTGAATTTGTATTCAGCAAGATGCATGCTGATTGTAGATGTGATGTTTATCCATGCTCCCTTTCTATTAATGACAATTACAGATAATTAAAAAGATAGATAGACTATCATTAGAGACCTTGAACTAGTTTAAATTATCTAAAGTGTATACAGTAGCTTCAAGTTTGGCCTGATGTTATCAAAATAAACATTACAGAGAATTGAAAGTTTTACCCTAAGTAAAGGAGGCATAATTTGCAGTCTGTGCTAAAACATTTAAGCCCAAACCTTGGGCTGTCAGGCTATATAGTGAGTTTACATAAAAACAGGAACCAGTAACTGAACAAAATTCAAAAATTTTACTTGTCAGGCCAAAAATTTGCTTCCAACTGACATTTGGTGTGGGACTAGTGTTAATGTTGCAAACAAGCTGTCATTTGTGTTATAATGATGCCAAATGACTAGAGTTCTATTATGCTAATATCACCACAGATCTGGGGAGATTATCTCAGTTGTCTTTGTGGAATCAGACGAGATTATTTCAGTAGTCTAGACTGTCTTAATTGAAAAATTCCCTTATATGCCAGTTCACATTTATCTGTAACAGACAAAAGATTTATGCTTTGATCACTTGTTTCAAGTCATTTATTTTATAGGATATATACATAATTATTAGATAAGACTGTTCACATACCATAGAATGAGACAGTGAGCACAATGCGTTCTTTGCAAAGATTTGATTTTTTAAAAGCAACACAAAATACACGTTTCAGTAAAACAGTGACTAGTTTTTTTATTCAACAGTGACTACACCGACTCTTAAAAAAAACTCTTAAGGCATGTTTATCACTGAGTATTATGAACACTTGATCAATGTTTGTCCAGTTTTGTCATCCCCTCCCCTTCTTCTTCTTGTCCCTCACACATATACTAGTATTGGGTTACATATACATCATGCATGTCTAGTCCTCCTCATCAGGTATTCACACAGCATACTTACTGCCGCGCTGAATATTAGAAAATGAGCAATCATATTCGCACTGGCCTTGCTGTTGTCTTACATAACTCATGTAATAACAGTATTATTGTATGTGTCATACTTCGTGCATTTCTATACTGTACATAAATCAACATTGTTATAATGAAGGGGTTTCTGCTTCAGTTCCACCAACAAATCATGAAATGCACTATGGTTTTCAATGGATGTATCACAGGACTGGACTACCATGTTTTAAAACACACCTGCGAATATAGTCTAACCCTCTTGGCTAAATTAAGTCATATTTCTCAAAACATTACTAAGTTTTTTTATTTACTTTCATTAGGTCAAACAATGATACACTGGTAAAAAAATTAAATGATTCTGAGCATCAAGTAAAAGCCTGTTTCTCAATCTCAATCATGCTCAGACCCATTTAATTTTATTACTTTTAAAAATGAAACGTACAGTACACTGTCATTGTATCTTTATTATTATGGTGGAGTGGAAGAGATTTCCTCATGTCACAACACCCAGCTTCAAAAGAAAATGCCCAATCATTCCGACTAAGCTGAGACAAGATGCCACTAACATCTTGTGCCATGTGTGGGAATTTTAAACAGCTGTTCCCTACCACTACAGTATATATATAGACCTGATATGATTGTGTGTCAAGTCTTACTTATTTTTATCAAAACCAACTTTTTTAAAATAACATTGGTCTTGTTAGCTGGTTTGCTGTCCATAAGCCTGAAGCCATACAAGGGTTTGTTACTGCATCGGGGACATCAAGAATCATCTCACTAAAGTACATGATACATCGGGTTTACAGGTACATGTATATGTAAGCTATGTGGATCATGTACATAACATTTCGAGGTAAATTACACAATCGCGTTTTATGGGCCAGTTTTTCGTAATTCACCCTTACCTGACTTTTTCGGGTTCCCACCCGCACGACTTTCTTTACGTCCTTTCCCATGACGCGTTGGCTGTATGACTGTTTCACTCAACTTCCGTAAAATAAACTTGATCACTCGGTAAGCTTTCTGACCTCAACCCACACACGTTCTCCACGGAAGTATGTTGTACGCATGCGCTAAGCTAAACGGGGAAATACGGATCTTGAGAAAGTGTAAGTTGTTTATGCATATCATGTGATTCGGCTAGATATTATGAAGAATCTCGATCGATCGCTAAAATAAATATATATTGCTCTATATCAAGACGCTGAGTATTACCTACAGGAACAAAACAAACGCAGAGATTTTCAAAAACATTCGTTCGCCCCCCCCCACCCCACCTCCACTCACCACTACTTTGACTCTTGTAGATTTCGTGCCTCCCAGAACTAAGGCACACCTCATTCCACTTTCCCATGCTCGTTTGACTAACTTCTTTTATATTTGCTCAGGAATAAGAACTGGCAATGTCAGCATGTGTGCGCCATTTAAATGGAGTTGGGAACCTGTGAAAAGGCGGCTTCCCCCGTGTCACCCCCTGTTTGAGGAAGGTGACTTAGTGTGCTCTCTGCAGGCTAAACTGATCCCTGTTAATGGAGAGGGAGAGGAGGAAGACAGCATTGAAGATGGCAGGTGTGCCTACTAGTAAATAAAATTCATGCACCAGGGTTGATCCAAGTGCATAATTTGTCTTTCTATATTGTCTGTATTATTCAACATTCCAACACTGATCCTACAGTTTAAAGACCCCTGCCCATTCAAAAATGAAGAATTGCTTATAATTATGATGAAATAATTTTAAAAACACAAACAGTGTTTCCTTATCTTTTAACAACATTCTTTTTGTAGAATTTAGATAGAGGTGAAAAATACTAGTAACAACTCAGTATCAACAAACAAAAAATTCATGTGTTCTCATCATTTTTTTTTTTTCATCCTTCTTGTACCCTTTAGGGTGTCGAGGGGAGAAAGAGTTGGAGTTTTCTGAGAGTTCTCATCATTATTAGATATTATTTGACACTTCATTTTAGTATCAATAACTTTAAGTGAATGACTTTACATACAAACATTCTTATTTCAAAAAAGGTCTATAAAACACTTATGTTACACAAAAAAATATCAGTAGCTAAGTGTTAAATTTATTATTATTATTATTATTATTATTATTATTATTATTATTCCAGCAATACAATGATACCATGCAATATTGCAGGCTGCACCAGATGCTTTCAAACCATTGGAAGGTTAGTTCTTTCAGCCAGTTCTCCAAATCTGCACCCTGACAGTAACTGACCCTCTGTAATGTTTCAGCATTGGTATGCTTGATGAAAGGGGAAGTTTCTAGTTATCTGTTGTACTTAGAAACTCGGTAGATTTTCAAGATATAGTAAGAGAGGTGGTTATAATATTAATTGTAATGGGTCTTGCTCAGAAATGTGCAAAATTATCATTCAGGTTGAAGTTTTATTCAGCTTCTTGGTTCAGATCCTTCACATTTAGAATATATATTTACATAAAACTATGATGGATCCATGGATTATATAGATATCACAGTTACTGGACCCAAATTTCTCTGTCCAAAGCAGATATGATTATCACAACACATTTTCCACATCAAGGTATTTGCTAGAAATCACAGGGGTTTCATTCCATAGTATAACTCAGAGGCAGATCCAGAGGTATTTTCTGGCAGTCTTCCTAATTATCTTTGTTGATCCATCCTCCATTTTTTAACCGTCTTCTGACAGAACAAAATTTGATGCCCGTCAACATAAACTTGAAAATTTTTTACCACTGCCCAGAAGACTCAGAAGATGGCCTCAGTCCACCCCTGTATCTCATTTTACCTTATTTTCCCCCTCCACAGTTACGAGGCTCACTACAAGGACTTCCACACCCATGTGTGCAGTGAATGCAAGAGGCGATTTCCCACCAATCACCTGCTAGAGGTACACATACTAGAGTGGCATGATACCATGTTCCACTTACTAGCCAGGCACAAGAACATGGTAAGTGTATCTCAGTCTGTGTCAGAAATATCAGGGGCACCTGGGTTTAAGAATCTTCTGGCATTAAGTAAAAATATATATATATTTGACCAACAAATTAACAAAATTAAACTGTTATTCAGTTTTACTGGTATTTGGTGAAGGGTATATATTGAGAAATGGTTATCTATAATATAAAAGAATCACAACAGTTTCAGCAAACAGTTTCAACACAACAAGTATCATCAGAGGACTAAAAAGCCCTCTAATGATGCTTGTCATGAGCTTTTGAAGAATCTATAAAGACCTTTTAAAGTTTATGCTTTGTAATATTAGCTAAAGATTGAATGGACAAACAGATAACGAATAAACATCTCTGATAATCATAACTAAAAATGTGTTGAAATATTGGAATATCACAATCTATTTGAATGTTTTTATTTTAGTACCAGTGTCTTGTTGAGGCCTGTGCTGACAAATTCCCAGATGCGAAATCCCGCAAGGATCACATGATCAAGCAGCATCACTATCCAGCCAGTTATAGATGGGACAGACAGAAAAAGTAAGAGTAATTTTCTCTCTCTCTCTCTCTCTCACACACACACACACAAATAGTATACAACCACTTTGACAGTTCATTTCTTAATACCATTTTCCCATCTTAGACCTAAACCCAAGAAAGAGGCCTCAGAGGACAGCTGTAAGATGGACATCAGTGACCCCACTGAAACCAAGCAGAGCTTAAAGTGTACAGACATAGGTGGTCAGCAGCAGGACATGGACAATGGTCTGCAGGCACAGGGGGGTGCCTCAGGGAGCACTGGGGCCACAGAGGGTACTGGTCAGCAACAGCAGGAAATGGACGTGTTTCAGGGAGGGGACACTGGGGGTGGAGGCCAACAAAGAAGATTTGTTTACAGGTAAGTCATATCTAAACTAAGGCCCTTAGAGTGTACATGGTGTGGTATACTTATATTTATCTGTATCACAACATTTTGCCTGGTCCTAACACCTAATTATGTCGGAGGCGGCGGGGGGGGATGCTCCTTTTCACAAGTTCACTTCCATCTGTTTGGACCAATCAAAATGAGTCCCACAGACATGCAGGTCCTCTAGACTGGCAAGGTTTATATGAAATTAAAAAGAAATTGCCTGTTAACATAGGCTTATGGCAATAAAATACTCAGCTTGGACCAGCACAGAATTGTGAGGACCTGCAGATTTCTTGTAGTGCAGGTCCTCTGGACCATCAGTACCTAAAAAGTTTTCCCCATGTCTGAATCCTATTAACTGTCCTGTCGTCCACGCCTAACGCCTAGGCTCCATTTAAATGTCTGTCTTATAACCAGACTATCAAATCGCCAATCTCTCAAAAAATTGTGATACTTATTAGTACACTGCACAGTGTGAAAGAATGAGTTTTCCACAGGTACATCAATTGTTCTCCATATATTTCACCAAAAAGGCACAGTGTGAGAACCTGTTTCCTATATTTTAAATATGAGACCAGTTGATATCCAGAGTTTATCAGCTTGTTGATTAATGAAAGGGCCCTTCCCATTGTGAATTAAAAAGCATATTACCAACTTCAGTTGTACTTGTTTAACAGATTTTCTTTTACATAGGACTTGGTATTCTGGTGCACATTTTTGGTGACTTTTTGATGAAACTTTTCTCTTGATGAGCTGTGTACTCTGTCACCAGATTAACACCATCCGTTTTGTAAATAAATTTCTCCTACACATTATACATGTGACCATTTTCTCGATTTGTTCAGTTTCGGAGTGAAATTATTCTCTCACAGTTGTATTTTAATTTTTTGCCATCTGTTAGCAATTAAGAAGGTCTGGTAAAGAAAGCATATAACGTTTCATGTTTTTTATAAATACATTTTGAGATTGTTCATGGCGGTACACAAATAATCGTCAATATTACAGTAGAGCTAGGGTATTTTTATAGTTGTGCAACACATTGTCACAGTTGTTGCAGGGGCAACTAACACACTCATTCACATGATTAGCATGTTATTTTATAAAACGGTTTAAGTACAAAATATTCACATTTTTTCAGTGTTTTTCACGGTCGGTGATGCATTAAGTTTCAATTTTTTTTAAGTATCTAAGACTATTCCCCTGGTCTTACTCTTAGATCATTAGAAGATTTGCAACATTTATTACGTACTAGAAGTACTGTATATATTGTTGTGGAGCAAATGATTTATCTTTGGTCTTTTTGGCAAAATTATTTGCAATATCTAAGTTTACAAAAAAGAATACTTTAAACTTTTGATATTAATAATAATAATAACTTAAAATTTCATTTATGTTTTATCTGTCACATTACAATATAATACAACATTTGGATTATTGCAATTTTTTCAGTGTTCCTCCAACAATTTGTTTTGGCGCTGGTGCTGCTCGTGGCTTCAGTAGACATGGCTATCCAAACAAGGGCAAGAAGAAAAAATCCAAACAAAGGCACTGGCACCAGACACAACCAGAACATTTATCAACAACTGTCAAAATAGAGGACATTCAGATGAATGATTTGGAAAAAGCACTGGATGATAAAACATGAGGAAAAGAATTATTGATCCATTCCCTGTTGAACTGTTGTTGGTCAATATCCTCATTGTTTCAGTGATAAGATTTTTGTGCTTAGCAGCAAAGTGGATTTTTTTCCTGGTGCTTATCAGAAGTTGAGAACACTTAAATTCTTTATGTGCCAAGGAAAAGCTTTTAAAATGATATTGCAATTTCTATTTGTAGAAGAAATGTATGTGTGTGATAAAGGCACTTTAATTATGCACAAAAAGCTTGAAGTCACAACCCTTAGTCATCTGAAGTCTTTTGTAAGTCCTGTCCAAACCACGGTGATTCTCTTGATGAAGTTCCAATTGCAAACTTTTCAGTGAGGATCTAATGACTGGCATATTTACAAATGAAAGCATTTCAGACTTCGTGTGACATACAATTTACTGATATAGCACGCAAAAATTCAATTTTAATGTGAATTCCCGTTTAAGTGAGTAGCATAAAGGAAGGAGTACAGTTGCAAAATAAAGCCTCTCCACAAGTTTAAAATGTGAATACTACTTTGTGCGAGTGACCAACTTACAGCTTTTTATTCAATTATTTGTCCAGTCTGGCTATTTATCCTGTAACAGTCGTGCCTAGTGATTGTAAACCGAGTTTATGAAGATTGTCAGACATCCAGGAAAGAGCAAATATACATACACAAAATCTATTTCTCAATTTGCGTTATCTGTCAATAGTTAATTACCATGGTAAAATCATCGTTAAGGTGAATCTTCAGGTGAACCATACATATAATTCTATAAGCTTATATAATATTTCTAAATAGTTTTATATATTTTATTATACACTATTAAGCCGTAGTTCTCGTGAGGATGACAACTACTTGCTACCAGAGGCTCACTGGCTGCTACAAAATCGAAAGTTGAAGTCCCTCAAAAATTTTGCAACTGCTGGAACAGCTAGAAGGGCCTCTGGTAAAGAGTATATCCCAACGGCGCCATGCCATAGTTGTCATCCAGACGCAAGGCCAGAAAATTCCGGCGCTTGTGACTGCAAACCAAGTTTAATAACCCACATATTCGCATATGAAATTTATGCTGCTGCTGCAGCTTCCGTCGTCCCAGGCCGCTCCGGAATTCCAGTAGTAACCGCAGTCTTGGTTGCCACCGTCGTCTGGCTGGCCGTTGTCCCACGCTGTGTATGGTAGAGGGATGTTGCCCCAGCTCCTCATTACAAATGTGCCCTCGTTAGTCTCGTCATTGGCGTCCACCCACCAATTTAACCCAGAGCGAGCTGGAAGGTGATATGCAGAAAAACAGTATGTGTATTTTCGATAGATCTCTGTATTAAAAAAGATCGTGATTATCTTTGGACCGACTATTTATGTATTTGGACGTCTAATTTTTTTAATTGTGCTGGTAGATGCAATTCCAAAAGAAGAAGCGATTTAAACGGCGTTAAATGAGGCACAGTTTAAAAAAATGCAAAGAAACGAGGTGCTACGCGTACTTCAATTGTTGTCATTACTTTAAAAGTAATTTATTACGTAGCCCGATCTTCATCTGTATGAAAATATTACTTCACTATGTGGGCGCCTAAACCCTTATGCACATGCATTTACTGGTAGACACAAGTGTACACTGTTAAGTCAATGGGCAAACGCATACACTCTCACAACCATGTAGTGGGACCAACGCAGGTTTTCGTCGGCAACGAGTTCAATATTTGTAACAGACTAGCCGGATCCAGGATTATTTGAAGGGGGGGGGGGGGTCCGTGGATGCGAAGCCGATCCCCCCCGCCCCTTCCCCACCGAGGGGTTCGGGGCCGGCCGAAAGGCCCCGAAAATTTGTGGTATTTTAGAGGGCGAACAGTGCCATTTGATACGGCTTAGAACTATATGATCTAGCTAGTCAAAAGTCTAATTTCAAGAGGGGACCAGAAATCGAGGGGGGGTGTCAGGACCCCCCTGACACCCTCCCCCCNTTCGTTTAATGATATGAGATTTAGAAATATTTATACACCAATAGGAGCCAAGAGTTCTGCCATTGTTGTTGTGAAAGTCGATAGATATATGCCTTGCCCTTCAGAAATATCTATGGGTCTTGGAAGAGTAAAGTGTGCACCCTAATGCACAAAATAATTAGAGAAAGTATGTGTCAGATTTTCTACATGTACTATACGGCCAAAACAGTTGGCAACTTCGTATTCGTTGTAGTATTTGACGTTCCATCATACTACAACTGTAATAACTGATCTAAATTGCCAGGCATTTCATCCATTATTATAAGAAAAGGTTCAGCATCCAAATTGAAAGGACTACTACTGCTTTAATTTGGGTCCAATTAGGTGAAAATGTTCACTCTGTGCTGTAAGTCCGTATGTCGACAAGCGAGCTTTTAATGACGCTGTTTTGATACATGTAGTTCCCCGCCTCTGACATTTCTTCTCGATAAACGCATGCTCTCGTGATTGCTATGGTCATCGACGAATTGTCCGCGGGCACCTGTAGGGCCGATGGTCGATATGTTATAATTTTAGCACTAATTATCGATTTGATTAGCATCAGTAATTCTAACTGCCGACGTTTTACGTAATTAAGAAACGTGTAAAGTCTCGTAGATTGAAAGGGTTTCGATTTCGCAAACGGTACACTGATTAGTAAAAAAGATAGCTCAGATAGGTAAAGAAATTCGTATAAATTGCTGTGATTATAATTACAGATAACATTTACTTTGTGTGTCATACTGGTGCATGTATTATTATACAATTTCTCCCTTTCCTTCTGCCTTTAATGTCGGTAAAATGTTTGCACGGGCACTATCAGGTCCCAAATCTCTTAAAACTTAAGTGCAATCGTATCGGCCTCCGTCCTCCTGTCCTCCATCTCTCTCTCTCTCTCTCTCTCTCTCTCTCTCTCTCTCTCTCCTAATACATGTAAGATAGTTACTAACTAAAACTTACAAGACTGGCAAAACTTCCCGATAAAGGGGAAAGGACATGAGCATTCCCCTACAGGCCGCGGGACTGTTGGGTCAACGATAACGCACTTTCCACTGTTTTGACACGTGATTTGACTGCATGGCTGAAATAATAATAATAATAATGATAATAGTAATAACAATAATAATAATGAAGTAGAAACTATCTGTATTAAAGCAAAGGCAAAGAACTTAAATTAACACGCAATTTGTTATTGCTAAAAACATATTCGCCGAGATAACCTTGGTAAATGTGATTTTCAAGTATTAAACAACTTCAATAAATCGTGTGTAAGACATAAGAACTTCTTAAATATTGAAATATATGTCCTTTAAGAATTCAAGATAAAGCAAAACAGGGTTGGCTGACACGATGTGGTTTGATAGCTAGCTCGTCCACAATGGAAACAAACACCTTGGAAAGTTTTACTACTTGTAATACGGTGTTCAGAATGAATGATTTTAATCTTCAAATATAAAATTTGACATCGAGCATTGATGGAAAAGCGTTGGAAGCATCTTTCTGAATGGCAAAGTCTTTTTTCACAAAACATTTTATAAATATTTTTCCTTGAATGGAGGTCAATTTTCATCTTTTAATCTGTTAACAAAACATTTTCTCTTGCGGACGTTTTTATTTTCAGTTTTTAAAATCAATTTCTTATTTCTGTCTTTTTTTAAAATAAACCTAGTTTAACAGTCTCCTTTCCTAATCATCCTTCAATATTTCTCTTAAGGCAGAACTGTCATCGTCGAAAATCTCGATGATTCGAACATTAGATGAATGAATGAAAAATAAATGAATTCATAATCAGCATTTAAGGTGTGCAAGTTGTATAAACGAGCAGGCCGTCTTTAACCTCATGGCCAGCTAGGTATAACTCACATCGTATCCGGGCGTCTGGCAGTTGGACAAATCCAGATAGGTGCAGTTGCCGTCACTGGTCAGAAGATCTACAGGTGCAGAGTCAGTAACGCTCGTGAAATTCGAGAGAGTACAAGTCCCCGTCGTGTGGCAAAATGCGGCCGACCTGCAATTACTACTGGTCATACATTCGGCGACGCATTCTCTATCATTCGGCTGCAGACTGGTTTGGATCACGTAGCCGGGTGACAGATTCTGCTGCTGGTGGTTTTCAACGTGGCAGGAGTAAGTGCTAGACGCAACTGCTGCAGTGTAAATTATATTCCCACCAAAAATGATCTGAAGAAGAATAAAGAATGTGCCCCTGCGCAACATTCTCGTGGTTGAATATTTACGACGACGACGTTTGCGTAGAATATATTTTTTATGTTGTTGGTGGTCAATCTTTAATGAGCGTCTGTCTGTTCAGAAACTGAAATGAGTGAACAAAATAAAGTTGTCCAATAATGACTCGCGCGATAAATGCGACACAAATTACTTCGCTGCGCATGCGTTCACTGTTTACTTCTGACTGGGCAACTTGGGCATTTAACATAGGAGCCAGTGAAAAGACGACCGATTTCAATACGGCGTTATAAACCGAAGATATTGTCCCCGGGGCTTACCAACCACCTGTACAGAGAAACAGACTATCGTTGTTATAAAACAATTGTTAGCTTGTCAGAGACTAAAAGTTAGCGGGAAAAGAGATTTAACAGCATAGCATTGTGCAAGTGAACTTGCGTCCGTGAAGCTGTTGATCACGTGTTGAAAAAAAACTTTCATAAACCCCCAGTAACTAGAAAATTCCCAAAATAATGTATTTGTTTACACTTTGCGAAGCCAGCGTGCACAAATCGTGGTGTTACTAAAATAGGGGAGACCGGGGCTAGTTGGACCCCGGGGTAAGTTGGCCCCCCGTCATTTTATGAAAAAGTAACTACGAGGTAAAGAAATTGGCCACATACACTTGTAAAGTGACCGTAGCCTACAATGCCAAGGAAGTGTCGGCCGTTAAAAAGTTTTAATTAAGCGGTGAGTCCAAATAAACTATTTTTGCACCTAAAAGTAATTTTGTTTAAGAGATTTAAAAATCTATTTTCATAGGCTTTTGATCGAATATAAGATATGTATAGGGCATCAAACTGAAGCTCATTGTTTCAAGTTTCACAGAGATGTATCATCGTTGCTCATTCTAGCACCATAAATGGCTGCCATGCCTTAAAATAAATAATGTGCACCCGGGGCTAGTTGGCCCCCTCGACTCGGGGCGAGTTGGACCCTCATATTACCCACAATCCTTTGCGCGCAACGCTGTTTGAAATAAACAAGAAGTTGTAACTTCTTGAAATAAACAAGTTGGTGAAATTGACAAAGCTTGCCGGAGTTAACCGTCTGATTGATTTTTTTAAATTTGCTCTCTAGTGTCTTTTCGAAAATTTATATTAGAAATGTTCTGTTGATTGTATGTATTAGAAAGCAAATCCACTGGACTTTCCTTAGAAAAACATTTATTTTGCCTTAATTCATTCTAAGGTGATTTTATTGAATTTATAGTGTTATACTGTATGTGTCCCCAAGGGGATTTTCTACCCCTCCCATTGTTGAAACAAACTCAATGGTTTAAAACTGAATTTATTACTTTCTTTTAAAACGTAAATTTATTATTAGTTTTTATTCATTAAAAACCTGCTTTATAACATTATTAATTTATTCTTAATTAAAACAAAACAAATTTTATTGATAGATTTTTTTGTTCTTGCAACACATCCCCCCCCCCCCC